ACTGTATTGCATATTTGACACACAGACAGACGTGTCACAGAAGAAGAAGCCATCTCAATATGACTATACTTGAACATTGAAAGACACACATGGAACAATGTACATTTAAATCTTACTTCTCTCACCATTTTTATCCTTTTTCAACAATCATGTCAGTTTTTTTTTTAAATTTATTCTCAGTGTCTAATCTAATCTGTGGTTGGATAACTACTGTTGACTAGTGAATTATAAAAGTAACTGACATCAATTTCACTCCCTGTTTACTCTCAATTGAACAAAATCTTCCATTATCTCTGATAATTGTCCAGTCACAAAAGAAAATTAAACTTTGTAATCTTAGAAGAGTTGAAGGCAGGAATAAAACAAATGAACAAAGGCTGAGTAATAAAAACAGAGCCAATGTTAGGCTCCATAGCCGTGGAGGTGTCTGCATGTTCAGACTTGACTGACAGACAGAGGCAAGTAACAATCAGATAAATGGCATTTCAATGTCGACTTCCTATTGCAAGATTATCACAGTCTGGGTCAAGCAAATACAATCTATAAGCAAAAGACAAGAAACAATCCTTGTATTCATCTGAGGTGGGCTTTGAGTAATTGTGACCAGCAATTAAACTATATACAGTACTACTTTGATCATCCGTACATTAATTTTCCAGACTTTGATTATCCGAACATGAAATGATCGGTTTGTTTTTAGGTTTTATTAACCCTTTTAAAGTCGAAGCATATGTTGAATTGTAAGAATAATCTTGTTTTATGGGTGAATATTGAATAGACGATTTTTGGAAAATAATGAGTTTTCTAAGTTAAAATCCTACTATTTAACCCATAGTTGGGGAGAGGAGAAAAGATGGAATTATAACCTTACCAAGGGAATTTGTACAAAAGTGAATGTAATGAACTTAATTCATTCTGAGCTAGCTATCGATTACACCACCCTCACATCCGAAATCAAGTGAAGAGAAAAACTGAAATCATCTGAACATTTTTTTTTTCTTTTCTTTTTTAAGCATTCTGTCCCAAGCAAGGCGGGAGTGCCACTAGCATTGAAGGGGTTACAGAGAGTGAAACTAAGAATAAAGAGGGGTGTATGAGGAAAGGGTAAAAAGAAGGACATGTATCAAGATGAAGGCATCAGAAGATGTCGATTGACATTACATTTGAATATTTGAAGATTATAGTTATCAGGAAAGCAAGTAGGAGAAAGGGAGTTCCACTGTCGGAAAGTCCAAGATAAGAAGCTGTTGGATTAGAAGAGGTGATTACATTTAACTGTTTCGACAGTAAAAGGGTGGGACCCAGATGCCAACCTAGTAGCACACTTAAATTCATGCAGTTGGGGTACCAATGAAAGTAGCTCGTCAGAGCAGTTGCCATGAAAATATTTGTAGAAAAGACAGAGGGAAGCCACATCACATCTGTGAGAAAGTGACTGTAGATGAGATGCCAGGTCAGGATCTATCATATTGCATATCCGACTTTGGATTTTGTCAAGAACCTCAAGATTTGTAGATTTGAAAGATGGACTCTGATGAGAAAAACTTGGTGCAACGTAGAGAACCAACTTTCCTTGCAGTAGATGCAGCTATTGATTCAATGTAGTTGTCCCCCCCCCCAGCACAGTGGAAAACATGAGACCAAGAAGGTAGCGGATAAAAGCCATTCTAATATTTCATCTCAGTCTCGTCATTTAATAAAAAAAGATGCTGATAAAATCAGTTCAAGTAATTCTTGCTAATTTCCTCATTGTTTTCATACAAAGAACATACATTTAAATTATCGCAGATATAAATGACTGGTTCAATGCAGACGGCCTAGGATATGAACACCTTAGTAACCAGGGTATTGTAGAATTTATAAACACATCGGAAAATGTTGAAAAGAGAGAGAAAGAGGAGGGTATTGCCCAGGTTGAACTTCAAGAGCCACAATACCCAATTTCAATTTTCAGCAAGCACTCTTTCTAGTTTCTGGGTGGTATTTGAAGTGCATGAATTATTTCCAGAAATAATATCATTGTTGTTATTTTTACTATTACTACGATTATCATATAATAATTCTACTTGTTCCTCAGTGAGTTTGTATGACCGTTACACCCTGCCAATACCTCATAAATAATGGACTATTCCATTTTGATTGTGTAGAAAAACAAAAGACATATGCTACTTGAGTTCAGTGAGAAAATGAATGAATGAATGAAAGAGAGAAGGGTCGATAAAAGTTTTTAATATCTACTGTTAATAACTCATAAGTAATGGACTGTTCCATTTTGTTTGATTGTGACAGGAAAACAATATATCAAAAATGCTACTTAGTTTCAGTAAGAAAATGAAAGAAAGGTCAATGGAAGAGTTGAACATCTGCTAATAGTTCATAAGTAATGGACCAAGCAATTCTGACTGCATAGAAAAACAAAAGAAATACGCTATGTGGTTTCATTGGGAAAATGAAAGAAAGAAGTGAAGATAGAAATGTTTGACGGCTGTATCAGTGAAATAGAAAAAGTTGTGAATTTCAAATCTTTTCATTTGTACCCCCTTACTTCTTAAAATAACGACCAGCATTCATTTTTATAATTGTTATTGCAATATTTTGTTAAAGTTAAGCTGAAATATTTAACAATGTGATAGGTGAATTTCTATGGATATTTTATTGTCATAGAATTGCCATGAGCTTACTCAATCATTAACTTAAGAATTAAGTTTAATCAGAAAATTCAAATAGGAAAATCGTGAATTGTTCATGGGTTAACAGTACCAATCGTTAATAATTGGTTGTATATTACTTTTTTATGCTAGAAGTAAGTAATATTTCTTTTAAATCAGAGTAATTTAACATTAGATTTTCTAATTTTACTAAAATAACGTGTCAGAAACTTTTTTAAATATTTTTAAAATCGATAAATTTGTGTTTGTTTACAAATTTCTTAAAATTAAGAAAATGGCGGGAATTACGAAAATTTAAAATTCCAAAATTAAATTTGACATTCCAATGTATATAGTTTCTATCTGAAATACACCAGAATTGTTTCCTTAATAGAAATAATAAATTTAATGATTAAACTTTCAATTAAAGCTAAAATGAAATCTTCAAGCATGTTTTTTCATTTTTAACAATTTATTTTAAAGTTAGGTATCGGAAATTTTGCCGAAAAAAGTGGAGGTCCCTAGTTAAAACTAATTATTATTATTACATTATTAGTATTTGTAGAAATAATACAGTACTTCTTCAGTTTTCTGTACCTTGTTTTTCCAGAATTCTATTATTTTTTAAGTTATCCTAACTAAAGCCATTCTAATATTTCATCTCAGATGAGCATTTTAAGAATTTACGAAACCGTACTCAAAGTTTGATAAAAAAAAATGCCAACAAAATCAGTTCAATTTAATTCTTGATAATTTCTTCATTGTCGTAATGCAAACAACGTACATTTGAATTGTAGAAAATTCAGTTCTCCAGGGTTTTTTTAATCTGTCTATATTTCTGAAATGAGCTATTGTAACTATTTACATTTTTTTGACCGTTGTCCTCATCTTTATTGCCATTTTCATGATGTTTCAGTCATTGTATGCCTTATTCAGATGAAAGAACATTTCAACTAATATTATCTTAAAAAGGCCAGAGTGTACAACGACCAAAACATTGTGAATATGACAATATAGATGAGGACAACAGTCTGAACAATGTAAATAGTGTAAATAGTTTTTTTTTATATTAAAAATTTGAATATAATTCTAAACAATAATAAAATAAAAATAAAGAAATCATGGATATATCTGTTAAATAAATCATTTGTATTTACAAAAATATGTACATCAATTCAAAGGAGTCAAAAAAATATTAAAAGAAATAAAAAATTGAAATCATTTTACATTTATTTCTAAGATCATGCAGTACTTCTTTGATTACCCATCTATAATAATGAAACCACATAGCGTATTTCTTTTGTTTTTCTATTGAGGAGGCACGGTGGAATAATGGATAGCGGCTTGGATTGAGGAATCGGAGAGCCGAGTTCGAATTCCAGTCGAATCCATTACATTCACTTACGTGCTAACACCCTTGGGAAAGGTGTGAATCCTCTCTCTTCTCCCTCCAGCTATGGGTAAATAGCAGGACAGACTGGGTTCTATAGCCTTGGATGGCAACTGGTCTAGGAGAAGGAAAACTCTGAATTCAAACCTGCTCTTAGAGGAGGGTGAATGGAGTCTCTCTGAGCCTTGGTTGGCAATCCATTTAGTGATGGTGTCACGATAAAAACACCCTTCGAAGCATCAAGAATTCAGCTATTTGACAAGATTATGAACTACGCCAATCAAAGTATTGGTGAATTCAATCTCGGCTGAGGCCGCAAGATGATGATCCGTCCATTGATTATCTGGACTTGAAATGAAGAGAAAAATTAAATTGGATTGTTTTTACAGTTTATCAACCCTTTTAAATCCAAGACATATGCTGGATTGAGAGAATAATCCATTTTTTTTACAAGTAAATATTGAATTAGCAATTTTTTGAAAATAACAATGATTTTTTCATGTACAAGTCTTACTATTTAATCCATAGCTGGGAGAGGAGAAGAGATAGATTCTTAGCCTTCCCAAGGGAATTTATGCAAATGTGAATGTACTAAACTTGACTGGAATTCAAACACTGCTGCAAGTGAAGAGAAAAATTGAAATCGTCCAAATATTTTTTAAATTATCTGAACTAAAGGCCATTCTAATATTTCATCTCAGTTGAGTGTCTTAAGAATTTACAAAACTGTACTCAAAATTTGATAAAAAAAAATGTCAACAAAATCAGTTCGAATAATTCTTGATAATTTCTCTGTTGTTTTTATTAAAAAAATCATACGGCAATATTTATTGGATTTATAAATTTTTCAAGGTTATTTGCTCATAAGTGAATATAATGAACCCAATTGGAATTAGAACTCAGCTGCCCAATTAATAATTCCCAGCCATTAGCCATTATGACACCTGCAGATCCAAGCTTAGAGCACCTCGTATTCCCAAGTGGTCACCCATCGCAGTGCCAACCAGGTTCAACATTTCTTAACTTCAGTGATCATATGGGTCAATGTTTCAGCATGTTATGACTGTTAAAAGTCTATAGGATTGGAGACCTTACTTATCAATCAGCCCATGTCATTTTGAAGAGAAATAAATTGACTTCATTTTGATACCAGTTTCATGATTCTATCTGGTCTAAAACTTGTTTTATAGGATTGGAGACCTTAATTATCAATCAGCCCATGTCATTTTGAAGAGAAATAAATTGACTTCATTTTGATACCAGTTTCATTATTCTATCTGGTCTAAAACTTGGTTTATAAGATTGGAAACCTTACTTAGTTTCATGAATCTATCTGGTCTAAAACTTGTTTTATAGGATTGAAGACCTTACTTATCAATCAGCCCTCATAAGAGAAGAAAAGAATAATGAACTGTTATCAATCCTCTTATCTGTATAGCAGTGATACCCTCTTCTCACTGATGAAAAAATGAATTGAGACAAAAGAAATATGGTTCTACAGAAGGATATTGAGAATACCATGGATTGAACATGTGAGCAATGAAGAAGTTCTAACAAAAATAGAAACAAAAAGGACACTTGCACTTAATATCAGAAAGAGACTGTTGAAATTTCTAGATTACATAATAAAGGAGGGCTTCCAAAATTTGACACTCACAGGAAATGTCGAATTCAAGAGGAACAGAAAAAAAACAATGCATAACCTGTCCTCTCCTAAGCACAAGGATTATGAGAAATAGCAAAAAGATAAAATTTATTAAGACAAAATTTATGTAGCTCTTAATAAATTTTGTTTTTTGCTAAATCTCTGAATCCCGGTTCTGCCAACCATCTCATTTACATCATCATCAAATCTACAAGGGAAAGGAAATTGTGGAGAACCATGATCTCTCACCTCCTGAATGGATACAGCACATAGAATAAGAATGAGATTGTATAAATGGTTGACAGAACTGGGATTAATTGACAGCAAAAAAACAAAATTTTCTAAGATCTACAAAGGACGGGATATTGTGGAGAGCCATGATCACTCACGTCCTCAAGGGACATAGCACACAGAAAAAGAATGCGATCGTTGGCAGAACTAGGATTAAGAGAGATAGCAAAAAGACCAAATTTATTAAGTGCTAGAAAGGACAGGAAATTGTGGAGAGCCATGATCTCTCACCTCCTGAATGGACACAGCACATAGATTAAGAATGAGATTGTATAAATGGTTGGTAGAACTGGGATTAGGAGAGACAGCAAAAAGACAAAATTTTCTAAGATCTACAAGAGACAGGAAATTGTGGAGAGCCATGATCACTCACCTCTTGAAGGAATATGGCACTTGAAAGGAAAAGTAAATGTTTAAAATAATAATTTCGATATATGGAAAAAAAAGAAATTGTCCATTTAAACTGATTCCTGAAAGATATAGATTAAAGTTGCCTAATATTTTTTAATTATGTAAGTGCTTGTGTGTGTGTGTGTGTGTGTGTGTGTGTGTGTGTGTGTGTGTGTGTGTGTGTGTGAATTGCTGAAATGAAATTGATATTCTTGTCTTAAAGCCCTCACAATGGCAGCTTTATTCTAAACCGTCCTTAGATATCATTCCCAGGCTCTCACTGTTTTCTTCTGTAATGCATCCTGGGCTGGTTAATTTGAAGAATGCTTTCAACATCACACTCTTCAGTAAACGGTCACTTAGCAAGGAAATGTGTCAGGTGACCAACATATCAGAGTTTGTGCATATGAAATATTCTTGCATAAAGTTCAGAAGCATATTTTAGAAAAAGAATACCAGCAACTGATTGCAACTAATAATTGCAGAGTTCTGGCTACATCAGGCATGCATTTGCAGTGTTGGGAGTGAAGGCGAGGTCTTTGGAAGATACATTGGGAAGAGCGTTTAAAATATCTGCTGATTCTTGTTTTAAATCTGATAATTTAAAACCATTTGAAACCGTACAGCAGACGCCATAGGAAAATGAAGATAAATTAGAGGAAATGGTAGCAAAAATTGCCTGTCATTAGCTCCTGACCTTTGCTCTTTTGGGTGGATTCTTTTGAGAATGAGGTGGGTCAGAACTTCTCTGCCAATGAAGATTAAAACTTTCTTATCTGTTGGGTTTTTTTTTCTGACCCTTTCATTGACTCTCCGCCCGTTTCGAATGGGAAAATATCAAAGAGAATATTTTAAAATAAATATTTTCGACTTAAGAATTGTTCTTATCACTGTCCCATAAGGGATAGTCCACTTATACATAGATTCCATATGTTAAATGTCACAATTATAGGACAGATGTAAGAATAATTAGATTTTTCAGATATCCAACCTGTCCCAAAAGAGTTGATACATTTTCATACACATTTCATGTGCTAAATGTCACAATAATTATGGGACAGAAGTAGGAATAATAATCAGAAGATTTTTCAAAGACATCCAACCTCTGTCCCATAAGTGTTGATACATTTTCATACACATTTCATGTGCTAAATGTCACAATAATTATGGGACAGAAGTAGGAATAATAATCAGAAGATTTTTCAAAGACATCCAACCTCTGTCCCATAAATGTTGATACATTTTCATACACATTTCATGTGCTTAATGTCACAATAATTATGGGACAGGAGTAGGAGTAATAATCAGAAGATTTTTCAAAGATATCCAACATCTGTCCTATAAGTGTTGATACATTTTCATACACATTTCATGTGCTAAATGTCACAATACTTATGGGACAGAGGTAGGATTAATTATCAGAAGATTTTTCAAAAACATCCTGTTAGGGCCAAAAGGGACATAACTCTCTGGAAAAAAAAATCAGAACAAGTGTGGAACATAGATGAAAACTAGAAAGTCAGTTACAGTCCGACCTTCCACCAAACTGCCGCAAGTAAACCTCCAAACACAAAACTTACCATCGCTCTAAAAAGGGGAAAATGTTAGGGACACAAGGGAAATAACTCTCGGAAAATAGGCGCAGTTTTCAGTCTTGGGCAAGGAGGAAGAATTTAATATGTGACCAAATAAATCTATTATTGTTTCTACACATGTCTCCGTTTTATATCTCTCAATTTTTTTTCCTTGCTCCAAGTTACACAGCAAAATCGAGTCATTAGAACAAGTGATACAACAGATTTGGCGACGAGGATTTTTTTTTTTTTTGACGTGTCTTGGTAAATTTTGATATATTTAATTTCAAATTCAACTGGCTTCCCAGAATTTCTGGCAAACTCTCTTTCACCGTTCGAGTACGTTCCTTCTAATAACTCCGTTTTTTCTTCGTGGTTACAACGTTGTAGGGACGCTTTTGAACGCAACTTTTCACACAAAGATGGACGCGTGGAAATCAAGACTTTTGCTCCGTAAGTTAGTAAATAAAGAATACGAAAGTTTCACAAATTGTATCCTGCCCAAAGTGACTTCATATTTAACGTTCACAGAAACTGTTGACCAGTTAACCGATTTTTTTTAGTATTCAGCAGTCTCTTTTTCACACCAGTTACAACTGTTTAAAAAATAATGAAAAGCGAGTCGGATGACGATGTAACTTTCGCAGTCTACATTAATCTTGAATGTGAAAAATTCCAGCTGCAGACACTAACTGAAAACCAATTTAAATGTCTCATCTTCATCGCTGGCCTTAAATCTTTTTAAATGACTGATGTGCGCACACTATGGGAAATTTGTCTCGGCTTACCTACATGAAATGGGTTATGGTTAAATGTGACAGAATTGATAAAAGCAACAACGGCTTCAATGATTAGAGAGGGCAATTCTCTCTCTTAGGCGTAAGAATTAAGACTCAAGCTCCTGCTCGGGGTGTAACATAGAAGAAAATGTTTATATATATACACGAAAAAGGTAAAAGGAAATAAGCAAATACGAGAGAAAGAAAGGGAGAAGAAAATTCCTTTAATTTAAAGGAAGAAAAAAGGTTCATAGAAAAGGCTTGCTCTGGGCGCCTAAAAGTTCTATAAGCGAGTAAATTGTTCTTAAGGGGTTAACACTCACATAGATTTCTTCAGAGCTTTTGAAACTGCCGGAAGATCCGAATTTTGTAGTTGAGTGAGTTCGTATGTCGACGACAGGAATTTTCTTGATGCAAGGAAGCAGATCTCAATTAGTTTTTAGTAAAGGGCTGACGTTCTCTTTAGAGCCCAGGTTCCGAAGATGACTGGTGTTCTATCGCCGACCTGATGTTATTACAGACGATGTCAAGTACTCACTGCCAAAAAAGAGTATTTTCTCCGTATTTATGGTGACTAGGAGGCTTGTAGATGACCGGGGAGAGAAGATGAAGAGAAAACAAACAAGACCGATATATATATATATATATATATATATATATATATATATATATATATATATATATATAAAATATGTATTAAACAACACAATTTTACAATGGACATAGACAATAGCATTTGCGTGGGTGTGTGAACATTTGTGTTTGCTCTTTGGTGAATGTTCGTACGTACGTGTATGTGTATATAATGTTCATGGCGTCTTCCCACAAGTGGGGAGACGTTATCTTCTCAGAGAGCTTACATTGTGGATGTGTTCGCTGAAATGAAGAAATGAAAAAGTGTTGTGGAGTGATTTCACAGTGGAAGCTTGTATTTGTACTAAGTCGGTCCTAAAATAGGTTCGACGTACAAAACGTTAGGAACTTGATATAATAAGTATAACGCAGAGAAAATCTAGTTGTGGTCGCTGATACTTTAGTATTCGACTAACTGTCGTCCGATATCGACTGACTGACCGCCTCCCTGACCGACTGACTCGTTACTCTTACTACTCCTACTTATTATAGGTGGGAGAGTCTATTAACTATAGAATAGGTGTGTTCCACTATAACAAAAAGAGAACGAGTCAAGAAGTCGCCCAGTATTTATAGTGTAGGGAGAGTGACCCCTAGTGAATAATTTGTAGCGACGGGGTTACCAGTATTGTAGCGGGTTGTCACCATTATGTAAGGGTGTGTACTACATATATTTAACTTTGGCTAGGAAAGGTGGGATTAAGGACAATGCGTAGACGCAATGCAATTTA